TGCAGTCATAAAAAGAATGAAATCATGTCCTTTGCAGCAACATGCATGCAGCTGGAGGTAATCATCCTAAGTAAATTACCACAGAAATGGAACACTCAATACCACATTTACTCACTTATAAGTGGGGGCTAAACAATAGGTACTTTTGGACATAAAAATGGCAACAATAGACACTGGGGACTACTAGAGGAGGGAGAGGCAAGAGTTGAAAAACTAGCTATTGGATAACATGCTCAGTACGTGGGTGATGGGCTCAATCATATCCCAAACCTCAGCATCATGCAATATATCCAGATAACAAACCTACACCTGTTCCTCCACTGAATCTAAAATAAAAGTTAAAATTATTTTTAAAAAATAAGTAAAAATAAAAAATACCATTCCTCCTTCACTCATAATCTAGTAGAAGAGACATGCATATGAATAACTAAACTAAAAGGTAGCATAATAGATGTGTGTGTGTGAAGCATCAGGGCTTTGTTAGCAACAGCTGGGATATTCAACCCCAACTACCCACTGGAAGACACTGTATCCTGCCTACCCAAGGGCTAGGGGCAACAGCCTTGATTAATCACACCCAGAGACCTGCTGAATTTGCTACAACATTTGAGTGCAAACAGTGGATTAGTTTACCCTAATGCCATATATATGTGGTGCTAGAGCCTACAGAGCCTTTTGAAATGTGATGTCCCATCCTCACCATTGCCTCACCAATGTACAATTATAGCAAAGTATCATAGTGACAGGTTGCAAACTCATTATACTTTTGCTAAACAGTTCTTTCTCATGATTTGAAGAGGATTCAATCTGAGTTTTGCAAAACATAGCTATTAATGTAACAAACACTGTTTGGCTTGTGTATGGGTTCCCTTTAAAGAAAACCAAATACAATGTTAGCGTAGGTACAGCAGTGAGTAACTTTTCTACTTCAACTTGGGTCTTACTGAGAAACCAATGACTCTTCCAAAAAATAATTTATTTGTTGGTGTTTTTATTAAGTAATTTTTTTCTATAATTTGCAATTATCAATAAAGAAGAAAACCGGTATGATTACACAGTGTAATTGGTAGAAAGGTCACAAAATCTGTATGTCACAAAGGAAATGGTGAAAATGCGATTTCAGGCAAAATTGAAATAATTTTACAGTTCCAAAACATCAACATGTTCTAAAAGAATGACCATAAAAATGAAAGATAGACTGAATTATGTATTCAGTAAAAAATCTTTAAATACATTAACTTTCAATCGTTGTATACTCATCATTTTATTACTTTTCAGTTCTAGAAAAATTTGAACTATTTATACCATTCTCTACAACCAAGATATTACATTATACTTTATCATGTGCATAAGTATGTGATGTTCAATCCAAAATCAAAATTCTGCCACCTTTAACAACAATTAAAATATAATAACTTGATCAAAAAGTACTACAGTTTCAAGGTTTTCTATTCTATTTAACTTTAAAGTTTGTGACTCTCAGGCAGTTTAAAAGATAAAGCCAATAGACATGTAGATACACTTCAGCTAAGTAGAAAGATCCTGTAACTATTTTTGTACATCTGCTGACTATAATGTATGTATACATATCAATGTGCAGTACAAATTTGTAAACATGAACATTTGAAACTTTGAAAGGAAATTATACTAGTCTTTTTCCTCTCAGTGTTTTATTGAAACAGCATGTCAAAATTTGGCCAGCACCACACATGTAAATAGTTTTAATACTGAATATGTTTCCAGTGTTCTGTATATCTATTTGTTCTGTTTTATGTTGTCAACCAACCCATGTTTATTTGCACAGTTTTAATACAAATTATCATTTAATTGCAGGCCAAACTTAAGAAGATTAAATGTATACCAAGGCATTTATATCAAAGCAACTGCCTAAGCTATGTATTTGGTTTGTTTTAAACTGCTCCAATAAACATGTTAGATTCTAGTGAAATCAACTGGTAAACTGTTGCTTTATAACACAATATTATGGTTATTTTGGCTAATTAAAAATTTTTCAGCACAAATGCAACATATCTCTAAATCCGAGTAAAAATATTATACTTTCGCCCTGTCAATTCAATTCACAAAGTACAGTACATGCAGTTGGACATTTCTAAGTGTGCTTAAATCTGCCTTTCCCCAGAAGTATCTAATAGTATAAGTATGTAATGACTAGGTGTTCTTTGTAGCATCTCTTATTGGGGAGGGGAGGGAGAAAAAGCAGCACACAGTAAATTATTTAATAACAAAACAAAAGTAAAACACCACTGATTCTATGTGTGTATGTGTGTGTGTATACACACGCATGTTACAGTGTGACATACGGAATTTATCAAACTGCATATTCAGATAAGGAAAAGATTTGTTACTGAGATTTAGTAAAGAGATAATGACCACATACTACCCTACTGTATACACATAATTTGATTATCTTAAAGCATCTAAATTTCATCATTAGCATGTTTGTAGACCTTTGTAAAATATATTTTTTTACTTTATTTTTTGTAAAATATATTTTAAATACTTATACAAAACATCTGTTTCAGTCATGTTCTTGTTCAGCATTATACCAGCAATACTTAAATATACATATTACCTGGTTTAAGTGAGCCATGGCTTCCCCCCAGGGTGCATAATAAAAAATGATTAGGAGAATAAAAGGGAAGTCTTCCATAATGGAATGGTTCACTGAATTATCACTTGATGATTTAACTGTTCATCTCTTTTCATCCTACAGACATGCTTCAACCTCACAAAAGAATGAAGTCATGTCCATTCCCAGAGTATATGTAGAATCTATGTTTAATAGCAGTGAAATACCATGAATATCTATCTTCATAGATTGAGGAAAATAAAACTCCTCATTTTCAAGCACAATGAATAGGAGCAATGACATTATGTGAGTTTGGAGGCTCTAAAATTATGTAGTTATATATGATACTTCAAAATGTAATTTCCAGAGGGCTTAACCCCTCTGTATGGTGAAAAGAAATAATGGCATTAGAGTTTGATGTCTAAATTACATTACCTAAAGCTATATATTGGTCTTTAAAGTACAATGAATAGAGAATTTATCTACTTAGATATGTGTTTTGTAACCAGGCTCATACTTTAAGTCCTTATTTCAGCTGACTGATTGTTCCATAAAATAATACCTTCCTGACCAGAGAATCTGACTACAGGTCTGAGCTTGACTGGGGACTGTGAAAGGGTAAAGTACCATTCATTTATTTTCTGACTCAACGTACAAATTTTATAGTTAATGAAATGCTTTCTTTCCCTATATTTATTTGTGGTAAGTCATATAACCAGGTCAGGTTAAGAATCAGATTTTACAAATTTAGTGAGCTGAATTAAGGAGGAATATAAAAAGAAGTGGTTCCCATATATATATGGTCAAATCAGATGGAAATAGAGGTTTTAATTGTTAGATATTGGGGTCTATTAAGTATCATTTGGTCACTTTTATAGGCTATTACACACTTAGTCCAACAAAAGTGGCTTTGGATTTTTGTAGATTTCTAAAGCAAGTCTAACGTTAAGTTGATGCAGGTGAAAATGATAGAATTACATATCATTTTGTTTTTCATTTCATAACCATAGCATCAATTTACCCAGTTACTCGAGTTTTGCACCATCCATTGAGGAGTAAGAATTTATTAAACAGAAAATAGTTGAAGACACTAAATATTTACTGTGCATGCATTAGAGCTGTTAGAAGATTTCTGCAAATGAGTCACTTGCTCAGAAGCAGGGGATTGCTTACTGAATCTCTTCAGGTTTCTTCCAAGTCTAATTATCTGTGAAGGTTTTTCCTTGTTTACTTCTTCAATTAAAAGTTCAAAATGACAATTTATGAATATTATTTAATGTAACAACATAAATGTTTCCTTCTTGTATTTAAACGTTTGCCCCTTTATGTTAATCACCATTACCAATGTAATCACATATTACTAGTTTATATGAGTAACATATAGTCATATTATCTGACACATACAGCATTGGGTATATGTATTCTGGAGAAGCTCCAAAATTAATCCCTTCTTTTAAATAGTCACTAAAAAGTAACCCAGATATTTCTTTGATTTTTCAGTTAAATACTTTTTCTTGCCAATTACTGAGGTTCTGCCATGTAGACCTCCGAATGTTTCATTTATAATCTGATATAAGGGTTTCTGCTTAAAAAGTAACAATCCATTTTACTAATTAAAGTCAGCCTTTAGCTTTCCTGTTTGGGAGTAGTCAAAAATAAAATGTCTTTTCTTATTTTAATTTCTGGTTTAATAAACCTGGGTGGTATACATTTTATTCCTTAAAGACTTTTGCAACAGTATCTAATTACATTAGATCGCAAATAATACTTCATCTTGACTAGAATACTTAATTTGAATGCAATCATGTGGCATCCTATCCCTACTCCCAGGAGTGAATGGCACATAGTTTTAATACATATATAGGAAGGCACATTTATAAGGCATATTTGGGATGAAATAATCATTTTAAGCAAAATAATTGATATGCTCTTCTTTATATGTGTTGGAAAAATCAGAAAAATCAGTTAGCAGTTTGCTTAGTTTGTCAAAAGTCAAGTAATTCCATTGTGATATTAAAGGGCTTGGCTTAATAAAATGTCTAGAGTTACTAGCATAAACTCAGTATCTGATTCATCTTAAAGATATGCTGGCTATGTATAGGTTATACCTCATAATTATTTTCAGAAATTTAGGGCCTGGTGAAAGGAATCTTTTCAACTTCATAAACTCAAATATTATTCCACTTTTGTTTAGCTTAATTCACTATGATTGACATACAAGAGTGGAGTTAAATCATACCAGAATAATGATATTTTCATATTTATGGATTCAAATATATTTTCCCTCTTATAATCATAATGTCTTTATCTTCTTAGAGAACTATAATAATATGTTTTTCTAATATTGTGTAAAATACCAGATGTGTTAAAGGAATATGTGAACAAGTTTTATCTAGGATTTATCCAAAAATAAAAGAAAATAAAAGCAAATTTATTAGAGTGTTTTACTTTTCATTTGATCTTTGTGTTCCTTCTAGATCAAATGGTCTTTAGGCTACAAAGATAAATAAAATATAATACTTGAAAGTTTGTGTCCTTATTTGTATCTTAAATTGAGATTAGCAGTTTCTTCAACAGCAAAGTATAAAGGCATAAGGCAAACAAATAATTAAATTTTTTTCTACAACTACTAGATAATGACACTAAAGCCAATCTTCATTGTTAAAACTGAAATTGCTTCACTGCTTGCATGAGTTACATCCATCTTCTTTTTGTCATTGTCAATGTGTAAAATGCAGTTATCATGGTGAACTAGCTTCACTATAATTGAAAATCCCATCGCTTAGCATCAATTTTCAGTGGTGGAGTATCATCAAATAATATTTATTGCATAGCTCATTTTGAAGCTCAAGGCCACTGTAATCAGAGATTCCTATACGTTGCACTTGACATTATAAACAGCTCTTCGTGAATATTGATAAGGCACTTTAAATCTTTAAATGCATAACAAAGAAATACTTATTGTAATGATGCTTTTCAAGACCAATAACTGTTGAAATTTCTTTGGCTACAAATAAAGAAAATATTTGTTTTCATGTAATTGTTCTAGAAATGCTATTGTTTTACTAAAGGTAATGGTTAATTGCTGGATACCAATGAATATGATTACATTTGCCTTCTCTAAAAGAAACTTGACTGTCGTCATTCACTTTAAGATGGTTGGAACCATTTATCAGTCTAGACGGCATAGAGAAATTGTATCTATAAAAGCCATAGGAAGGATGAAAGGAGCAACTAAGTGCTTCTTGGGTGATGGAGTTTGGCAGCAAAATATTTCCAGGTGCCTGTAATCCATACAACATTTGACTGGTAGAATCAGGTGCTTGTAGATACTGATCACCGGAGTCTTCAGATGAACCACTTTTTGAATTGGTGACCCCCAGGGAAGATAACATAGGCACTTCCATCATGAGTGGGGCTAAAGACTGAGAACTGTTGCTGCTTGCTAGTCTTTCAGGAGCCGGTAAAACAAGAGGTTGCTGTTGCCAAAAATTAGTTGGACAAATCTTGCAGCAAAGAGGCAGGTTGACATTGTGCAGGTATGCCTCTGGACAGGGCATTCCAAGGGAACTTGTAGGTAAATGAAACATAGGTGAAAAGCAAGGTGGAGAAAGTAAGTTCAAAGGAGAGGGGGCCCCTCCACTAGAGGTCACTGGAGATGAGCCACTGCTTCCACCTGTGAATGACAATTCAGTCAATGAATAATGAATTTGACATTTGATGTTCCTGCTATATTAGTAATCATACCCATCACTATCCCTGCTTCATCCTTAGATTAACTTTCCTTGTGAGTTCACAGTTCTTTTAGCTTCTTTGAGACAGGACCTGCTCATTCCTCTGACCAAAGTTCAATGTAGTATCTATACCAGGTATCCCTAATGCCTGGGCTACCCACTGGAACAGGTCTGTGGCCTGTTATGAATCTGGCTGGACAGCAGGAGATGATCAGCAGGCCAGTGAGCATTACCTTACTGCCTGAGCTCTGCCTCCTGTCAGATCAGTGGCAGCATTAGATTCTCATAGGAGCGCACACTCTATTGTGAACTGTGCATGTGAGGGATCTAGGTTGAGTGCTCTTTAATGATAATGTAATGCCTGATGATCTGAGGTGGAACAGTTTCATTCTGAAACCATCGCCTCCCAACTCCCACTGTTCATGGAAAAATTGTCTTGGCCCCTGGTACCAAAAAGATTGGAGACCACTGATCTATACTACTACCACTATTACTTTTAGCACTACTACTATGTATCATGTATTAAGCATTCATTTGCTCAAATATTGTGCTAGGCACTTGAATCACATTTGTCCAAAGAATTACAAAGAAATCCAATTATGACTCGGAGTCAATTATATCTTACCAACACAAACTAGTTTTATTATTTTAAAAATTAAAATATTTACATAATAAATAATTTTTAGTAATCTTAAAAAATTACTAAAATAAGTACTTAAGATGAACAAATTGATTGGTTGTTTTGGATTATGTAGATTTAATTTATAGATAGAATGCATAGATTTCATGTACACTGATTTTTTAAATTCTTCTGACCAAAGGTATACTGATTTTAAAAATTCCTCTGACCAAAGTTATAATGATTTAAAAAATTCCTCTGACCACTGATTTAAAAATCAGTGTACATGAAAATAGTCTTGTATAAATGAAAGCAATATATTTAAAAGCCTTAGCTTTTTTTCTAATACAAAACAATGAATGGGGCAATTTCCATACTGCATTGTATCTTAAGAGTTGGAAACAATTTTGCAAGTTAAGAAACATAAAGATGAATGTAAGTATTCATATCAATGATGTTTGGTGATCTTTTATGTTTGCCTAGCTCTACTAAAACTAGGGATAATTACAAGGTCCAGGAAACTCTAAACCTTATTTTTGTAAATGTCTGAATTCAAACAATTGGTTATTGGCTGGATTTGACCAAGTTGTTTCTTTTTTTAGTGTTGCTGTTTTCTTAACTATTTTTGTGTATGTAGACATATCCTAAACCTTCATCAACAAGATTGCAAATATATTTTATAATAAAGCATTTAAAAGTTATTTAAGAAACTAGTAACTCATTTGCAATTTGAGAGCATTTTGGATATCTTAAATAATTAAGAAAACTGTGTACTTTAACATTTCATGATCATCTTTAACTTTTTCTTTATTAATGCGCATTTGTTTTGACTTGGATATTTTAAAAGTATGCTTCCTAGATGCTACTGGTTAAATCGACACTGTAAAATAAGTGTTTATATATTTTTCATGCGATTCCCTAAACCATATCGAGACAATCATCCAGTGAAATATTTCACCAAATGATTAGACTTCACTTCTTCCCTTTTCAGTTAGTCGTTATGGCATCATGTAAAACTCAACCTAACTATAATGTTGATTTTGCTTGGTAGTTGTAACCTTGAATTAATGGTCAAAGTCAAGCAACTCCGATGGAGTAAAGATAAAGGGATAAAAAAAATCCATGTCATTTTCAAGTAAAAATTATTCTGTTTATTATTAACTATCAGAGCAAATTAAGGTATTCTTCCACCAGAAAGTCTGCATTATTTAATTGTTATTACTTTGTCATGTAATGTACCATCTGAGAATAAATATCTTGCAAATATTTTTAAATGCTTGTGGCAATTAAATTGTGAAGACTTAGTATTATTTTTAACATTTACTTTCCCCATGGACAAAAAAGAGGAAAATTAGAGCTAAGTGATGAATTTAATGAAAGTTATTTTAACGTGTACTGAAAGGTCCTCATAAAAGATAAACTATTCATTTCAATAGTAACATATCTGCAAATCAGGCTACAAATGCACCACAGGCATATCCTAAAGAACGTGAGATAGTGAGAGGCTGAAGAATCCAGATGAAATCTGAAAATCACAGGGTGTAAGATAACTTACTAACATATCTCAATAAGTCCACAATTACCACATTTCTATTCTCTTCCTTTATGCCAGCTTCTCTCCCTTTATGCCTCTTACCTCATCATTCAGGCAGAGGTACACCCACTTACCTGTAAGTACACATTTTCTTGCATGTACATATCCCTTTGTATAGTATTTGGTACAAGTGTTCTGGATGTTGTTATTTAATTAATATGTAAAAATAAAACAAATGTTCCAAGTTTTCTTACTTTGTGTGTCTGCGCCAAACGTTTTAAAATCGAGAGTGAAAGAAGGCCTCCATGGGTAGGTCTCTAAAAGCCCATCCAATACACCCCTAAAAAAGAGAGTCAACTTTCAGCATCCCCAGAATGCAATTTCTGAACATAATGATTTTGAGTTATTTGGCTATGTCTTTTAGATGTAACTATTTTAAATATTTCTCTTTTATACAGCTAGACTTCTGAATAAAATTCAGTTAAACCTAGAATTCTAAAATAAGCAAGATCTTAATACTGAGTAGCAAAGGAGTGGGAGGAAGTAATGTTTTAGACACAAAACATCTGGGTTCCTTTTCTACCACCTACTAATTACAAAATTTAGAGCGTTTGAGTCTCTGAGCCAGTTTTCTTATCCTTAAAACTTGTGGGGGGCCGGGCGTGGTGGCTCACGCCTGTAATCCCAGCTACTTGGGAGGCTGAGGCAAGTGAATCACTTGAACCCTGGAGGCGGAGGTTGCAGTGAGCCAAGATCGCGCCATTGCACTCCAGCCTGGACAGCAGAGTAAGACTCCATCTCAGAAAAAAAAATAAAAATAAAAATAAAAACTTGTGAAAATAGCTAGCTACATCAATATTAGATGTCATTGCTATGCTGCTTACCTGTTTCTTCCAGTATCTCTAAATCCTTTAGCAAAAGGATTTCTTTCTATTTTTAGTTTCGTAATCTATGGATTCAATAGAGAGAGAAAGATAATATCATTGCTTTCAGTGAGAACACTGTCACCGTTGCTTATAGTGGTTACAACCACCAGAAAAGATGTTGCAACATGTAATATGACAATTTAAATAAATGTAACCATATTGCAAGTCATATTTAGAATGGTTAGCTCCTATTTATAAATCATTACTTTTATAAATTACATTCTGGAGTTGCCTTCTCACATAAGATTTACACAATTCATTATCAAACTTGCATGGATGACAATTCAATAAAACTATGATTTTTATTTAGAATTGTGGAAAATGCAACTGATTGCAGTTAGCCTCTATCCCAAGGTCCCTCTGGAGCCATTTCCATTTGCCTGAGATATGACCAGCTTTACCTGTTGGTTTTGGTAAGCCGTTACTGTGGTGAACTCAGTTTCTTTAAAGGAGAATGTTTTAACCCCTTCAGTGGGCAAGGACTGAAGCTGGGACAAGTCAACACTGCTGTCTTGCTCTATCACGTGCACTCGGGGTTTGTACTTATGCATGGATTGCAGAATAATCTGGAGGAGAAATGACCAATGCTGTTAGAAAAACTGGCTTCCAGTCCCCAACCCTAGTTCTCTCTCCTGACCACCTCCACCACGTGCACACTAAAAGGCAATGATGAGGCTTAGGTAACTATTTTGTTATGCCATTTGGCCTCCAACAGAGGCACTCCGAGGGATGCGCTCCTAGCTAAAAACATTTCCAGAGAAAGGCACCTCAGCGGCACCTGTCAGCAGTGATTCCATTTCCAGATTGAGGCCTTTTCCTGCTTCAAACATTGGCGACCATCTGGTGTGGAAGTGGCACTGCGATCTGCTAGCCTGCTACAGGTTCTCATGGCAGTAACTGATGGGCTTGGACATGGTGGGTAACCTTCTGGCATACCCTACCTCCTAATCTTGGGAGCTTCCGTCTTTCCTTTTGTAGCCGGCACAGTGCCAGACTGGGGAGGGCAGAAGCAGGGATGCACCTAGTTACAATGTGCAAGATCAATAGTACCTATGAGGGTTGGTTGGTGGGGAGGTTTCCAGGCTGCAGTCTGACATTCCCCCACTTGTATCCTTCCACCACACCATACAATACACTGGGTGCCCATCCAACTGCGTGGACTATAGGAAGGCAATCAGAGATCACAGTGATTGCCCAGGAGGCTATGGTGCCTGAGAACTCCCTGAATGGTTCCCTCCTACTCTCCCAGACCAGGCATTCTGGCTTAAACAGGTCTCTTTCTGTCCTCAAACTCCCTATATTCGCCATCCCCAGTTGCCAGCACTCTCAGATGCCACACAAACGTTTCAGGAGCCCTAGGTTGGCTACTTTACTTACAGGTGCAGGGCTTGGACAGTTCCTAAAAAACACAACATGTACATCTGCAAAAAGCTTCCTTGGCCTCTCCAGGGTGGCCAGTGGGCAGGAGCCTTGGCACCTCCCTACTCAGGGTAAAGGATTTTGCTCACGTACATGGCCTTTGTCATCCATCTCATTGTTGGTGAGTTTCATGCGATCAAAGCTGATGATCTGCCGCATCCAGGTCTCTCCTGAGCAGGGTGAGTCCGGGTGAACATAGAATCTAGGAATGATGCACAGATGATCCGTATTCCCGGCTACCATCCACTGTGAGCTGTGATACACATACCTGAAAAAACACATGCTGTGGCACTAGGTGCAGCAGGCCAAAGCTGGGAGCTGTTGTGTTCTGTTCCTGAGGATTTTGCTCCAGATTAGCCCAGTGATCTCAAGGGCAAGTAAGCAGAAGATTCAACTTAATTTCTAACAAGCATTCAGGGGCAAAAAATAAACTGTAAATAAGCATATGTCATCAAAATGCAATGAAGTGCAGGGCAAGTAAAATGTCATGAGATTTCTAAGTCTGGTTTGTATTTTCTCACAGAAACCGCCACAGAAATTGATCTAACCCATTTTATCTCACAGAGACAACAGAAAAATCCACTAGCTTTGGGTGTGAAGAGTCTGGGAAGAAGTGGAGGGCTGACAAGTATTTCTGTCTAGCCTACTGTCACCTGTCCTCGTGGAAGCCCTTTTGCCAATAAGGCTTCACATCAAGAAAACTCTTAGGAACACAGTCCTGCACAGCCTCTGGCCGATTTTCACACTATTTCCAATCTCAACTTCCCAGTTTTGCGCCTATTCCCATGCCAGCTGCAACTTGAGAAGCAAACAGCTTTTTCTGCTGTTTTCATACTGCAGCCCCAGCAGTCCTCTGAGCTGAGCCTTCTCCTTGCTTTCAAAGCTAGCTCTGGTTTTGAGGTGGGCTGTCTCCTTGGAGGACCAGGGACCCGCCTCTGTGTCAAATGCTCACAGCCCTAGTGTAAACAGCTGTCACCTCCCCACCCCTCCAACCGTGAACTAGACCCCAAGCCCCCGAGTCAAAGTGTTGGCAAGCTGGTGTGTCTGGGATGTATCCCACAAGGGCTTTTTGGCTTTAGAACAATTGGGCCACTTTCAGCCTGCTGTAGGTTGAGGACTTAAATAAAGGGAAAATGATACTTGTACTCTCTAAGACCCAGACATTGCTTCAGGGGAAAGAGTAAAGATGGACCAAAAGACAGGCCTAGACACAGGAACTGCTTGACTGACCTTGAGTGGCAAATTGATCATCCTTCTGGGCTCCTGCTGCCAAAGCGGCACAGCTCAGAGCCCAGTGTGTCCCCAGAAACCCAGGCTCCCATGGAGCCTGGGGATTTCTCCCACAATTCCTTCAATCCCCTTCCCTTCTGGCCACCAGAGCCCACACCCTCTGCAGTTTACACAACCAAGGCCAGAGCAGTGGGTAGGGAGAAGCTTGGGGTACATTTGAAGCTCTGATTAGTGCCCTAAATTCACTGCATTCCAAGAGGGGATGGGGGCAGAAGAGAGGAAGAAGCTTTCTCGTCTTTCACTGGGAAACCCAGTTTGAAAAAGAAAATTCAACTCCCAAAGCCCACAGGAGAGCAATCGCTCACCACCACTCCCCATGCTAGAGTTTTCAAAGTTGCGCTGTTAGGTTGCAGGTCTGAAGGTTCAAATCCCTGGCCCCAGCCTGGGCATGGAGTACCATCCTATGGGGCCCATTACCTATAGCGTTTGGAATCCACTGGCACCACATCGATGGCCACATAGTACTGCTTCCCTGGATCCAACCCTTTCACTTTGACCCGAACAGAGGGGAACATCCGCCTGTAAGAAAGAAAATAAGGACTGACCCAAGAGCTTTTAGAAATGTTTGGAAGAGGGAGTGGCTCTGGACAAATGCTGACTCCAGTAAAAAGTGAAGGGATTCACAATACCCTTCCCATTTCAAAATAGCAAGGAATAGCATTTGCAAATGAGAAAAGATGGTTGGTTGTATACTTGACTGAACAAGTATGGAATTTCTAAGTGGAGCAGAATATTATTATCACAAGGCTTTGTTCATGTCCCTCCCCAACCATAATAAAAAGCTATAGAAGAGAAAGTATGAGAGAAAAAGCTGTGTCCCAACCTCCTTTTCAAGGGTACTTCCTGTGAAGCAGATTTGTGGAAGGCTGAAATTTGTAAGACTCACAAAATAACCAGCTGCAGTGAAGTGGCTGTCCCATGCCAAAAGGTGGCTATGGGAATGGCTCACCTCAAAATAACCTGGGCCAGGTCTGGCGGGCGCGAGGAACTGTGACATGGAATATTGTCCATGGTTATCTTAGAGGCCTTAACTGAGAGGTCTGGCCACAGTCTAAGACCAAAGTCTGATTTTTGTCTTATACTACACAGGCAGGAGACGGGGAAGTGAGTTATTGGAGTCATAGTGTACAGGAAAGGAAGAATGAGCCACTTACATGGGGCCAGGTAAGTCTGAGCCCTATCAATTGAGGGGCTATGGCTTTCTACTGTATGTCAGGGAGTTGGGGAAAAGGAACAGAGGAGTACCAGAGCATGAAACTGGAGACTCCTCATCTTACCAGAGCGGTAAATTAAGTGCCTAATGTGTGCGACCCGTGTGAACAGCTTGGGCAGAACCGAACCTGCCCGCTTTAGTAATGATCATCTCAGTCCCGATGTCATGGAATCTCTTCCACAGTTCAGATCCTTGAAGCTCCATTTGAATATCTTTCTCTTCCAGACTTTCAGAGCTGTTGCCATCGCCGCTGTCGCTGCCGCAGCCAGAGGAAGCAGTTGTTGAGGACTCTGTCTTAGGTTGTTTTTCTGCTGGACACAGAAACGCGCTCAGGGTTTAAGACAGCGTCACAGTTCACATGCCCACTTCTCGCTGGTGCCTATCTTGGAGCAGACAGGCCTTGTACCTTCCCTAGGAACTTTGGCGACAGATTCCCCAAGCTCCGCATAACACCCTCTGCGTCCGCTTAATGGAGAAAGAGGGGCCGTGAAAGGTGCAGCCCCGCTACCACCCCCCACCCGCCCGCCTTTTTTTTTTTTTTTTCGTCAGATTTGCCAATCCTCACTCTCTTGGAGACGTTGGTAACCGAGACTGGATGCCCTCGGGATTTGGGAACTCGCCCTGCTTCCCATCCCGGGATACAACAGCCACCCGCTGGCTCTGAGAGCTTCCCGCGAAGGTAGGAGGAGGATGTAGGAGAGACTCACTTCACAATCATGTAGGGACCCTCCCCTTTACCGCAAAGAAACTGCTGTATTCCGGGAAGGATTCGGAGGCGCTGAAACTTCCCCTTCACCAGGTGGTCGAGGTGTCCCGCGGCTCCTAATGTGGCTCTGGCTGCGTCGGGACGCGAGCCAGGCGGAGAGATGCGGAACCAGTAAGCTCAGGCAACTGGCTCAGGGCAATGGGAGTACTTACCAAGCGGCTCGCTCTTCCCTGCAGCGCTGCTCCTTCTCTCCTCCTCTTCCTCTCCGCCCTTTTTCTCCTGCAGCTCAGGCTGCTCCTCCTGTATTGGGTCCTGGAATTTTCTTTTGCTGGGTCTCCCCACCAAGGCTTCCACGGAGAAGGCACGCGCCCGAGAGCTCAGAGCCATCCCTGGAGGGGGTGAAGGGATTCTTTGCAGCAAAGTTTCAACCTGAACTGGGTTAGGGAGGGAGGGGGAGACACAGGCGGAGGGCACAGAGGGTAAAGGAAGGAGGGAAAGCAGGAAAAACAAAAAACCAAACCCAAAACCCAAAACCCAAATCTGAAAAACAATTTCTGGATCTGTATTCAAATAAATCAATTTTGTGTGTATGTGTATGTGTATGTGTATGTGTATGTGTGTGTGTGTGTGTAATTTTTATATATACATATATAGTTTTTGTTTGAATAGACGAAAGAAAAGGAGAGGAAGATCAAACTAGTATATATGTCCTTCAAAGTCTAGTCTCCCTTCCTCCCAGTGGACATGTGCAGACCATTAGTCCTCAAATCCCCGATTCCAGGACCTGGCAGAGCACAGAAATTGGCAAGTGCCCGCCTTTTAGGGAGCAGACCTGCCGCCAATGGCGGCTCAGGTTGCTGGGATTGGGAGTTACTGTTGCATCCAGTGAATACCCAGCCGGTCACTGCCTCCACTGTTTGTTTTGGAAACTATTGGAAGCATAAAAAACACAGTGAGTGACACTTCATAGTCTAACAGGGAGGGGGGTTTAGGGGCTTGTTGGAAAAAAAGCTATAGATAGGGAGGTAGAGAGGAGAAAAGGGAGACACAGGTTACGATTTTATATTAAATTATAAAACTCAAAGACATGCGAAATAATTGCCCACGAGGGGCCACTTTAAGCAGATCCAGAGAGATGTATCAGGGTCTTTTGCTCTCCAGCGAAGGCACTGGGAAACAGAAAGGAGCACAAGCTTTTGGGGCCAGTTGGCTGTGCAGGTGGAGTCTCAAACTAGGTGAGCAGCAGTTGTGCCAGTTTATCCTCTCTCTTCTGGTAGTGAAGTGAGGATAGGCAGGAGTCTTCCAGTTGCCACTGTCAAGCATCAGAGAAATCTTGGATCTTCAAGCCCTGCCTCTGCTAGAGCCCAATATTCCTATACATAGCCTTTGTTTTTTTCTCACAGGACTTAATCAGCAAACATAGTCTAAAAACTCCAGGGCCACCAGCAGGGCAACAAAAGGGCCTTTGCTCCCAAGAATGTGCATAACTCAAAATGTTTGGATTAAGTGATTGATTCCAGTTTCTCCTGGAATATATTCTTGGGATGGATTTTACTTTTCCTTAAACTGAATATACAAGTTTCTTTTTCTTTTTTCTTTTCTTTTTTTTTTTTGGGAAGAGACTTGTCTATGACGTCTGAAGAACACGTTTATGTGTGCAGATATGAGATATCTGCCTGTGTGCAGATGACTTGGTCACATACTTTTCATCAGAAATAAGAAATCAAGTGCCCCTGGATTCTTTCGCAGGTTGCATCTTAACTAATGGCATTTGCATTTTTCCAGAAAAATTATATTATTCACCTCTGACACATTGGTAAAAAGGGCATGTAAAGCCGATCCAAGTTCATTTAAAATAAGATGCAACTTGAAATAACTTATAATATATGCCAATACTGGAATCTGGGAGTAAAAGACCTGTGTGTCCTTTTAATTTCAGCTACTTAGGTACAAATGTGCCCTGCCACTGTGATGGCAGTGGTAGTGGTGGTGGCAGGGGGATATTCAGCCATAGGGAGGAGATCTTCAGGCAACTGGGTATGACTTTAAACACTCCAAAAATCTCAGTATGGCCAAGGGTTAGTTACAGCTTGGATGCCGCTGAAGGGTTTGGCTCAATCATTAGTTATCCACTGCTCACCATGCAGAACTGAGAAAGACACTGTTCCTATCCTAGACAGGCAAAGTGAACCTCACAGGGCAAGGCCACTTTCCTATAGGGAACTTGGGCTGGAAAACAGCCACATCTGCATGTGATCTTTGCCACATCTCTTAAGAGCATTTGTTTCTTTTTGCACCCATTAAAGTGGGGGGAGAGTGTTCATTTCCTCTTACTCAGAAGATATATCTATCTATTATCTATCTATGTATCTATCTATCAATCTGTCTATCTATCTATCTATCTATATTTTATTTATTGCATGCTCTTAGCTAAAATACACAACTCAAAAACAGAAAAGTCGAGTTTATTTGTTAATTTTGGAGTGCAATTTACCATGTAATATTTGTGTTAGTATCTCCTAATACACGCATTTTCTTGCCTTTAACGTTAGCTCACTTTATTGTTAAAAGGCAGGACATTACCTTGTATAGAAAGGGACAACTTTGCTTGGTATCTTTTTTTTAAATAGATTTTTGTAAAAATAAGGCAAAAGATGTTTGTTGCAATGTCTGTGCTAGTATTTTAGACTACCTAACATATGATGTGATATTTTGAAATCGAGAAAATAGCATATCTTGGGTGTAAGTTTCTTTCTCAGAAGAAACTTCTTTCTTAATATTTATTACATGCATGTAATTTAGTCATCCAGAATTTTTTATTTTTTAATCTGAACTTTTTCCATTCCCATTTCTGTATATATCTGTTGACATCACTGGGAGATATGTAGCTAAGCTCTCCCTTGTATGTACTAGACTAAAGTATAGTTAGTTCCTGTTAACTCATATCTGAGGGGGAAAATATTGCATTATCTCATAACTAACTTTGCAATCTGGTCAGCTGCTGAAGCACTGGGTTGTCAGGTATTGGGGGCCTGAGGCGCATATGCTAATGCCAGCAATTCATTCTCCACACCTGGAAGTATCTTTGGGGCAACTCTATATTTCATCCATGAACACCCATAAACCTTTATAAGAGACTCTTCAACAATGGAGGGGCAGCAAAGCATGTGGAGATTTCTGAGACCCACAGGGGCCCACAATAGAAAGCAGAATATGTTTTTTAAGTTTGATAATAGGAAAATCCTTACAGTAAAATGTTGGTTTTGAATTGTCCACTCCCCGTGATTAAGATATTTTGGCATAGTTCCAAGCTTGTAGAACATGAATCTGAAATAAGCTACTCATGGCCTTTTTTTTTTTTTTTTTGCCATTATTTGGGAAAGACCTCCTTTGAATGAACACTCTAATGAACACTCTAATGAAAGCAGAGTCAGGAAATGTAATCAGCTTCCCCGCAACATCATTTGAGTACCTGAATTCAACTTTGCCTGCGCTAGCTAAGTTACATGAAGAAAAAAATTATCTTTGTTTGCTTAAGTGAGCTTCAGCTGGGTTTCCATTACTTGTAGACAAAAGAATCTTGACAAATACACTCATCTTGATAAAAATTTGGAAGATCACCTTCTTTTTCTTGTTTTCTTTCTTCCTTTCCTCTTCTTTCTCCTTTGTCAATACTACTGGTTATGAGAATAGGAAAATTATATGCTATTGACTAAATTTTACTTTCTACATGAATTCCTCAGGCTATGATAATAAATAGGAATAAGGCTCAAGCAGTACACCATATAAGAAGACAGACTTTGGATTCAGACTGACCTGATTCAAATTCTGACTCTACTTTCTATCTGAATGACCTTACACAAGTCTTTTTTTTTTTTTTTTTTTTTTTTTTTTTGCATTCAGTTCTTTGTTTTAACCATTTAAAGCTATTATTTCTAACACTTTTATCATACAGTATGTTTCTGTAAGTGTGTGTATATATCTGAGGGTTTAGTAAAAAAAGAAAAAAACATGCAAACCGCTTAGGACAAAGCCTGGAACATAATAAGCACTCACAGATGTTTTCAAAATTAAAGAGATGATGGGAGTTAATTTCAAGAATGTGCTAATCTTTCTATCAACTATACAGCTATGAATTCTTTGAGGCAAAACACTCGAAGAGGAAAACTTTGGGATCAACATTGGAACCACTAACTTTTGGTTAAATCCTAAAGCAGATTCAAAAGGTTGAAAGTCTTTAGGGAAGCCAACATTCTTAAAGAAATTCAAATACTATTTTAATAAATAAAATTAGTCAATTAAACCAGAAGATTGCATTTGAATTTCAAAAATCCATAGGAAACATGTCTTCTAGAATACATGACCTGTTTTTATCAATTTTATCCTTGGAAATATATCTTTGGTATTTGTCAATGCAATGCAAGTGTATTTTCTTATATGATTAGATAAAATATGTTAATGACAAGACCCTAACTCATAGGTGTGTTCTTACTTCAGGAAATTGAGGGACGTGGCCTATTCAATATTGAAGTAATTCTCACACTGAATCCCTCAACTTCTGGTTGGCTTAATTCAATATAATCTCTCAAGAAGACTGTGCTTTTATTCATCTAGTCATTGAGTCATGCGCGTCAAACTTTGTTACTCTTGCTCCTCGGTAGAGTAGGGGAAGAAAAAGTAGAGATACAAATTCTTATCTGTGTTCACTGTGTTCTTCTCATGGGGAGGACTGGAAGCGAAATGCTTATGCTTGCAAAAACTTTAGCTACCGGAAAATGTATTCTGTTGAATTTAATCGTGTGTTCATATTGCTATCAAATGGTGAAGGCCTTCCTATGATAATAATTACAACATTAGGCTTCAGTTCATTGTATTTCTCATTCTAATAGAAGTATATCGAAAGCATACAACTACATTTTCTTATTTCTTCACTGGATTAATAACTTAAGGTCGATAGAATTTTTAAAAATTTCCTAGGAAATTTGTCACCAGAATTATGGGGACAGTTTTGTAGTTGGCTAATTTTGAGCAGGATAAATGAATAAATGAAAAAGATAAAACCTTTTTGAAAGTCCAAATGTTAACTACCCTATAGTGATTCTAGTAATTGCCAGAAGAGGCATTGTATGGTCACCTTTCAGCTGCCTTTGACTTCCTGAAGCAGTGAAAATAATAAATAATTGTAAATACATCCTTTCTCTTTTAGTCCTCAAACACTCTCCATTAAAACATTGAACTTAAGGCCAGGTATATGGGTTCACACTTGTAATCCCAGTGCTTTGGGAGGCTGAGGGAAAAGGATAGCTTGAGTCCAGGAGTTTGAGACCATCCTGAGCAACATAGAAGATCCTGTCTCTACAAAGCATAACAAACAAAATTAAAGAAACACACACACACACACAACAACAACACCAAACTAGAGTCAAACCCAGTCCTTTTCTATGTTACCTCTCCTCTCTGGTGCTCCATTGGAACTTGCACAGTCATATATTAACTGAAGGCTCAATCAGGATTGCTGGACATCATATTTTTTCATGGGTTGAGTTTGTGGTATGTGAATTTTAGGTTAGGTCATTTTAACTTGGGTATACTTGGGTATTATGTCTTATACATTTCTTTTACTTACTCCACCCCCATGTTTCCTCTTTCCTGTTTCCTTTTCTCTCTCTCTTTTTTTTTTCATGCTGCCTTTTTTTTTTTTTTTTTTTTTTTTTTGAGACAGAGACAGAGTCTCACTCTGTTGCCCAGGCTGGAGTGCAATGGCATGATCTCGGCTCACTGCAACCTCTGCCTCCCGGGTTCAGGTGATTCTGCTGCCTCAGCCTCCTAAGTAGCTGGGATTACAGGCACATGTCACCACGCCCGACTAATTTTCATATTTTTAGTAGAGACAGGGTTTCACCATGTTGGCCAGGCTGGTCTTGAACTCCTGACCTAGGGTGATCCTCCTGCCTTGACCTTCCAAAGTGCTGGGATTACAGACTTGAACTGCTGCTGGCCTCATGCTGCCTTTTTAAAAATGAGGATGAGAGTCAGAGTTACCTCCAAATATGCTATGTGCATCAGCCCCAAAGAAAGTGGGCTAGGATTTGAAAAATGACTGCAGGTGCCAGTGTGATATTTTAAAATAGATAATTCAGACATGTAGCAAAATATCACTGGCTCAGATCACTTGAACGAGGATATGCCAAGTTTATTGCATCAATGAAGTTTTGAAAAGAAAAATACTGTTTATGAAGAATGATTTTATCTTCCTAAAACCAGAAAAATGCTTGCTTTACACCCTCTTCCCCTACACACGCTTTCTCACCATGCAGTCCTCAGATCAGTGAGTCATTATCTGGCTCTGCCTAATTTGGGCAGCCATGAGCCCAACAGAAGCAGATCCTTCTGTTAAGAAATAAATCATCCTGAACTCCATTGGGCCCACCAAATCTCATGCTAATCTTTTCACTATTTAATTACTCCTGGTTATTTACAATGTATTTTCCTCTTCTTACCTTGGCACCCTACCCCATCATTCCTAGGGCATGTGAATAAGGTACTAAAGGCTTCTTTCCATATTCTCATAATTATCTGTATTTAATCAGGGCTTTTCAATGCCTAACAACCACAGATGTACTGACAGTCAGAAGTATTTGGTAGTAGGCTGAGGGATTTTCCCTAAGTCTATCAAAACACCAAATATAGGCAAACACTTATACTGCCTGTGCTTGAAGCCAATCTATGCCTTCTTTCATAAACTGTCTCCCTTCCCAGGGTCCCCACATTAACATTACTAGACAAAAAACTGCTCCTTCATGAAATAAATGTTTGTAGAGTTAGTAAATCCTGATCTATGCTCCAAGGGGCAAAAGCGAAGGCTTTAATAATTAAGAAATAAAGACAAATTTTAAAAAAATACAAAAGAGAAATCACAGAAGACAATAAGGTATCCATGGGGATAACTGAAGCAAAGCAACCATACCACCCTACAGCAAACTCCCTGACATGCCTTTCATAGCCAGGTGCTTTCTGTAGTCTGCCTTCTCTAGTTTGAAGGGGCATGTGTGTGTGGTATGCGTGCTTGTGTGTTTGTGTTACAATGCAGTATATGAACTCAAGCTCTGGTGAGGAAAATCAGGAATAAGTAAAATAAAACAATTTCTTTTGGCACACTTTGATGTTCCCTCTCTCACCCCAATGCCCATGCTTTGGGACTTCAGACCTCCTCCTGAAATCAAGTGAGTGCAAAGAGGATCCAATAATCCTTCTGCCTCTGTGATCTAGAGCTCCTTGGGGAAGAGCCTCGGTAGAAAGTACCACTGCTTAGAGCCCTTGGCTAGGGCCACTTTTCAGTGTTAGACACCTGCCACTCAGCTCAGTGGCTACCATGTTGGCTTCAGTCCTCACCTTCCAGGAGGCACTCTCATCCCTCCACCTTGCTCCCTAGCTCTCTAAACAAGATCTGTGAGCCCTAATGCATAGTATCCTGTGCCTGGGAGCCTTCTGGCAACATTGCTACCTAGGAGAGGGACTATTGCTGGATTCTTTGGGTATTACAGCATAGTCTCAACCTACTGGACAAGTCTAGCCTTCATGAATTTTAAGGAGCACTAACATTCTACTTTCAGTCCCCCTAGAGGTAGTGATGGCAAGATCTCTGTCACAAAACCCCAGCTGATGAAAGATGAAACTGACAATTATCACTTGGACTTTCCTAATGTTAGGGACTTGGTTAGTGATAGTTAACAGGAGAGGCAGAGGCTGAGGAGAATCCCTGTGCCAATGTCCCCCTAAAACCTATAACACGGTCAGTAAGGCAGAGGTATTTACCTGGAAGGCAAGAAGCAGTGTGTTGCTGTGTCAAGAGGCCAGGGCAGCCCAGTGATTCTGAAGTCAAGTCTCAGTCAGAGCTCATTCACTCTGCATATGCCTGCAGCCGCTCTTCTCAAGAGCCCAGAGAAGAGTGGACTAGAGCCAGAGCACAAGAGAACGGGGTGTTCTGGCCCTCAGCTGTGGGAGAGGTACTTGCTACTTCCGGGGTTGGACTCCAGCAACTTCTCCCACAGAAGACATGCTTTTACTCAAGGTTGGCCATGAAGTCACAAAGACAGTCTGTGATTTCAGCTTTCAGAGCTTCAAGGCTGCAGGCACCACGAATCCTACCTCAGCCTCCCTGTTGTAACCATACCTGGTTGCATCCTGCTCTGAGCTACAGGATAATGCACTTGGAGAAAAATGCCTTTGAACCAGAAGTGGATTGACTTTACAAGTCTAGTCAGCTCATTTCCATGCCCAGCAGGAGCACTTGCAGTTGGAAAACGCTTTTCAATCCTCAATCAACAACAGCAGCTCAGAAGCTCCACCCAAGGGGCTCAGCTCTGGAGTCATCCACTAAGGGACCCATTCAGCCTCAGGCAGTGATTCCCAGGCAGTGTAGAGGCTCTCAGTGGCCAGGATCCCTCTCTCAGTCCACAAGCGCCACATAAACAAAACTTTACGCCTCTGAAAGGAAAGATCCAACACACACACACACACACACACACACACAATTTAATGCACAGCGAATTCCAGAAATGCCTTGGCTGACACACTTTTCTGCTGCAAAATAGAACATGTTTGATTTTTACTTGTTGGTTTATTTCTCCAGGGTAACTCAGAGAGAATCGAAAGGGGCTTAAGGCCCTAAGCCAGAAGACTTTACTAGCAATAAGTGATCCATAGGTCCTTGAAAAATCAATGCTTATTTTATCCTCTAGTGAAGAGGCTCTCAGAGAAGAGAAGACAGGTTCCAGATTAGTGTGGTTTAACTGGATGAATTCTATAGCTTTTAAATTTATTTTCTCCATTGCAGAGGGTACCATACCTTTCAAGTAATGCAGGAAATCCCAGCTAAACCCCTCATTGGGCTACCACACCACAGTGTCATGGATAACTAGGAAGGACCCAGGGAATTCCCCAAATAAAACCCCTGAAGCAGATAATGCCTGTTATAACCCTGCCTGAAAAACCAGAGGCCAAGGAGGACCACACATTTCTTATCAACATTGAATGCCAAATAGTGAGGGTGATATTTCTGATGGGTTTATAAATGCATTCCGGTGTTCCCGAGATTTCCAACTCACAGTCAACCACACCTAAACCCAAGGGATTATTTTTTATTTTATCTTATTTTATTTTATTTTATTTTATTTTATTTTACTATTTCATGTGAAAGTTTTAAATGTCTGAAGAGGACTACAGTCTCTCTAAAGTATTTTTCCTGGCAAATATTTTCCCTTCTCTCAAGAAAAGTACAATAATGATTACATTTTATTTTATTTTATTTTATTTTATTTTATTATTTTATTTTCTACTTTCCCCTTTACTTTATCTTGATTTTTAAGCTAAAAAATGTCACGGTAATGAGTTTCAGCCATTTTTGAAGATAACTCAGAGACAGGATTTTCCAAGAATCCTTCTACACCCCCTGAAAGAAGAATGTGTTTGTGTCTTCGCGCTCCTGTGTGTGTGTTTAGGGAGAGAAGGTTGCAAATAAGAACAGCATGTGAGCCCATCCATAGAACTACGTGCATTTTGAAACATGACAAATCTGTTTCTGTTCCTCGTTTAATGTCGGGAAATGTGTTTCCTGTTGTAATTGGGGCTATTCACTTTTGGTGATATTTAAAACGGGCCAGAGTCAAGTTGATGTTTGGTTAACCACGAAGGAAATGGCTTTTGATCAGGCAGGCAATTACTAACCAAATTTGGTAACTTCCCAAGCAAAACAAAGGAATTTGTTAACTATTTTTCTTCTACAGTAATGTGCAAGGCAATTATTTATGAATGAAAGAGAGTTTTCCGTGCTGGTGAGCAATAGGCAGAGGGGAGTGAGCCACCAGGACTAGACTCTCATCACAAAACATCATTTCCAAACTCAGGACGGGAGGGAGTGTCCTTTTTGTGTTGCTCTGTGTGTATATGCCGGAAGGAGGCTAAGTGCAAGTGCCAGCATAATCCTGAGGTGGCAAGATCTCAGCCTGCTGTAACAGAAGAGGATTGTGGCTACGTCATAAACAATCCTATCCAGGCAACTCAGGAAACAGTGTCTTTCTTCCGTTCTCCACTCTCCTCTGTGAGCTCTGTAGTGCTCCGTTTCAGGGCCGTGGCAGTCGGGAAATACTTCACTTCTGGCCTTCCGGGTGAGGGCTTTTGAGAGACCAGGCTCTAACGCTCCGCAGAACCAGGTAGTTAGCCACGGACAAGTGTTACCAAAAACTAAATTCAACATGATTACATGTGAAGTGCTAGATGTATACTGCCTGGGTAGATGCAGCAGTGGCGGTCTTCTGGGGGCAAATTTGTCATTCCAAAGAGGCTCATCTTTTCTCATGACCTTAGCAGGTGCACTCAATTCCCGGCGGCTCCTACAAAGTCGTACCCGAGGAAGCAGTCCAATAGAAGAGAAAAAAGGCTTGGCTTCTCAAGATTCAGGAGATTTTGACAGAGTTCTGGGGCGACACCACTCACAGGTGCGGGGCCTCCAACAATAACCACTACCTTTTCTTCCTTCCTTCCTTTTCTTTTCTTTCTTTCTTTCTTTTTTTTTTTTAAGCTTGCTACCTGGCTACATGTTAACTCTTAATCCTCATGCTGCTACATGTTAACTCTTAAACCTCACAGCAGCCACAACAAATGAGGTAGGTAACTTCATTCTCCCATTATCCGCGTCAAGTAATCGAGATTTAAGAGAGTACATTAATGGTGGAGCCAGCTGCCAATCTCCAGCTCTGTGGTGACTCTACAAGACCGCTGCTCAGGGATCACCAAGTAAGGAATTTTTAAACCGTCTGCCATCATTCCAATAGCCTGCTCCTGCCCCAAGTCCCCGCGGTGATTATCAGAGGGCCCAGGGGCAAAAACCCGGCTGCAGCTTCTTGGAGCCAGCATAAGCTATCCTATTTTGCATGATCCTTTGTCTCCTTGGTGCTGCTCCTGGAGGAAACCTGAACTTCCCAGCAGTTCGCGGGGCCGGCGCCTTCTGCGCACAGCCAGTAACCTAGCTTTCTTCCAGCCAAGCGTACCTCACAGGACCTTTGCTACTGTAGAGCTTGAATCTTGACTTAGTAATTTAGGTCGCGAATGACTGCTCTGGGCTCCAAGATGTGTTCAGAAGTTTGGGGTGAGGTTGCTGCACTCATCAGGGACTCCAAAATCCCTTTCCTGTGATAGTAAAGCTCTGTCTGGGTCAAACAGGCCGTTTTACAAACACTTTAGAAAGTCAAAGCACAAGTGCCATTTTCTGGTGCTCCTCTGAATCGCTGTTACCCAGTTTTATCATCCGACCTGTGACTGAGCTTCCTACTATCTTCCTGGACCAGCATGACCTTTGAAAGACCATGATCCATGGCGCCATCGATTTATTAAAAACACTATTTTGTGAGAAGCCAAGAAGTTTCAGATGTTATTCCCCTTGCCGGAATGAAACAAAATGCCACTGATATTTTTAAATTGGGAGAATTTAGGCGGTTCATTTTTTACCATTCATAGAAAAAATAATATTGGATATGATTAATGGATAATTATTGGCTAGAATTTCAGACAGCATTCTCTCTCTTACTTAGCATAATTGCTTAACTGTGTCCAGATTTACCACTTACCTCTATTTGAAAAAACACAAGTGGCCAATTCCAGGAGCAATTAGCACATCGTCACCTAGGGAGCCCAATGAGATAACTTTGAATATTAACTTGCAAACAATTATTATTTTAATGAATTTACACATATATGTTAGCCTAAGAATAATCTATTGAACCAGTTACAATAATTATGTTTTGATGAAATTTAGGCTTTATTCTCTAGAAAATCTTAAATACAACCCTGTATTCAAATGTTCAATTAAAACTTTTAACACAATGATGCAAGTCTATATTTCACATTGGTGAACTTATTTTTAATATTTTAAAGCCACGTTTATTTAATGAAAAATATGCATTGAAAAATGACTGATTTATTGCTTAGGGTCATCCCAACAACTGGAGTAGATTGAACAGCACATCTAATTGACTGAGCAAAATTTGGTCACAAGGATTATTGCCACAAAATGAACTTATCAAAAGAAAAACAAATAGACCTTGTTACTCAAGTGAAGGAACCTTTATTGGGACAAATCAGGGGACATGGGGATAGAAAATTCAGAAAACTTTAAAATGGAGAATAGGTTTAAGTATAAGAAACTTAGCCATACTTCACAAGAGAAAGAAATAAAAGACATCCTAATAGGGAGAGAGGAAGTCAAACTATATGCAGACAATATGATTCTTTACCTAGAAAACCTCATGGGCTTGGCCCAAAAGCTCCCTTATCTGATGAACGAATTCAGCAAAGTTTCAGGACACAAAATAAATGTACAAAAATCAGTAGCACTTTTATACACTGACAACATCCAAGCTGACAGCTGAATCAAGAATGCAATCACATTTCCAGTATCCACAAAAAGAATAAAATACCTAGGAATACAGCTAACCAGCGATGTGAAATATCTTTACAACAAGAGTTACAAAACACTTTTCAAAGAAATCTGAGTTGACACAAAATAGGAAGGATCAATATTGTTAAAATGGCCATACTTCCCCAAGCAATCTACAGATTCAATCCTATTCCTGTCAAACTACCAATGACATTCTTCGCATAATTAGAAAAAAAAAACTATTTTAAAATCATATGCAACCAAAATAGAGCTTGAATGGCCAAGGCAATTGAACAAAGATCATGAACAAAGAACAAAAGAACAAAGCTGAAGGCATCATGTTACCCAAATTCAAACTATAATACAAGGCTATAGTAACCAAATAGCATGGTATTGCTACAAAAACAGATACATAGACCAATGTAACAGAATAGAGAGCCCAGAAATAATGCCACACACTTACAACCATCTGATCTTTTACAATGCCCACAAAAACAAGCAATAAGAAAAGAACTCCTTATTTAATAAATGGTACCATATGGC